AGTTCTTTCTCCACTCTTCGCCTCCTTGTTGTTTTTGGTCGGTCTTTCCTCCTTTTCCCTTCTGGGGTCCATCTAGGTACCACCCCTTCGATGTCATTTGTTGGCTTCCTCAAGACATAATCTATCCACCTCCATCTGTATTTTATTAGTAAAGTTCTCATGTCTGTTGTGTTTTTTTGTTTCAAACAAATTTGGGTTGGTTATTTTTGTTGACCAAAATATTCTCAAGATCTTTCTGAGGCACCCGTTATGAAAACTTGATAGCTTCTTTATGTCACTTTCAGTCAACTTCCAGCATTCAGCATCATACATTAGGACAGCTATTATACAGTTTGATCTTAATATGTCTGCTGATGCTGCTTGACTTCCATGTATTCTTAAGCTTGACTAAGGATCTTCTGGCTTTACCTAATCTTGATATGATGTCCTTGTCAGCTCCGCCATCTCATGTCACAACACTTCCCAGATATGTAAAATATTCTGTATTTATGATTTCTCCTCCATTCAGTAGTATTTTGGGTGGTTTTTTGTATTTAGGGTCATTACTTCTGTTTTCTTTATGTTGATGTTCAAACCAATCTTGCTGGCATTTATTTGTAAATTTTAAAAAGTTTTTTCTTTGCATTTGTGTTTCCAGATGAGATAATAAGGCCAGGTCATCTGCATTATCTATGTCTTCTAGCTTACTGAAAAGAGTCACTAAAGGTTGGTCTCGTTGCCAGTCTACAGCTATGATGAACAATGAAACTGACATCATACATCCTTGTCTGACGAACTACCAATAGAGCATTTAAGGTCTGCATAGCATGCTTTTATTAGGTAAACTAGTTTAGATGGTATACGATGGTACCTCAGGATTTTCCACAAACTGTGGAACTTCAGTTTTCAGTTTGTGGATCTCCTTTCTTAGGTAGTTTGATGATGCTGCTCCCAGGCTATGTTGCTGGTATCATGTTGTACTTCCATATCTTGTAGAAAAGAGGATGATGGATATCTGCTGCAAGGATAGGGTCAACTATGAATATTTCAGTTGGTAAGTTGGCATTCCCAGGTACTTTATTGTTCTTTAAACTCATGATTGTCGAGACTATTTCTAGTTTTGATGGTTCATCTGTGTTGATTTCTAAGTCGATGCTTGCTTCGGGTATATATGCACTGTTGCTTGGATCTGGGCATTCAGTATCTCATCAAAATGCTCCATCCATCTTCATTCTTGGTCTTTCTAAGATGTAATCATTGTGAAATGCTTGTCTCTTACTGGCATACATGCATTTCATCTATGTACACTTAGCTTCTTGGTGATCTGATAAACATTACCCATTCTCTCTTCTGATGTTGCCTTTTCAGCTTCTTTTGCCAAATTTTCAATGAAGTTCTTACGGTCCCTCTTTGTGGCTTTCTTTATTTCTTTGTTACTGTCTAAGTATTGGTCTCTTAATTTCTCTTTGATTCTTTTCTGAATGTGTGTTACACCTCTTCTTTAGTTCTTTTTCTGCCGGCAGTGATTTTCTATATACCTGGTTTTATCCATTCTTTATGTACCTGTTCTGTGAAACCAATTTCTCGCTTGCATTGTTAAACGTATCCTTTACTTTTTGCCAGTGTTCGTCTATCTGTTTTTCGTCTATATGAGTACTTTGCAAGATATAGAATCTGTTTTTCAGCTCCGATCTAAAATCTTGCTTGGTTTTGATGTCACTTAGTTTGCCAATATCAAATCTTTTTAACGCTGAACTTATGTATAGTTTTCATCAGCTTAAGTTTAAAATCTTCAGTTACAAGGTGATGACCACTGCCTACATCAGCACTCCGTCTTACTCTCATATCCTGAAGAGATCATCTCCATTTACTATATATACCGACACGCAAAAGAAACGCAACATCCTACTTTAGGGGGAAATAATTATGTAAAGTAAAGAATTTTGAATCTTAAAATTATGAATATCTTCAATTTGGTAAACATCGGTAATTTAACGGTTGAACGACATTCATACCATAACCGGAAGTCAAGTTTGAGTCTGCTTAACAGAAATCAAAAATTGCGTGTTTAACAAAACATTTGGCAATATTGTGGAATTTTAGTGGTTTTTTACTGTTCATCATAAGTAATGCAGCAATATTTCAAAAAATAAACTCTTCTATCGTTTCCAGTTACGATGCTTAGCCCACTTGAAAATGGCTTATGTACGCATTTCCGTTGCTCTAGTTGGAAAATTTCAATGTTAAGGTGATGGAGAGTTGCTGATGCGAAATTTCACTAAATTACTCCTCAACAGGGTCTTACGTATCAGATGCATTAAGGACAGTCCTTGTATCGGAAGTCCAAGGGTGGCTACACTGCTCTAAGTTAGAGGAAATTCGACCTAATCATCTGAAAAACGGGCATTTAAAAATGCCAAAGAATAATTCCTTCGCTCAGATCTCGATATTAATGAATCTATTGTATCGTAGAAAATAAACTGCAATTGTTGTTTAGGGCAGTCTTGCACGTTTTACTTGAATGGCTGGGAGGGGGGTGTTTTAACAGTCATATTTTGCTTAGTAAAGTTAATAGATAAACGTTTAACATTCTTATAAAATCTCTGATGTTCTTAAAAATAAGTGTAACTTACCTTATTCACTTTTGAAAATCATAAGATAAAAAAATCAATCATTTGTAAATTACTGCTTGTTGCGTTTCTTTTGCGTGTCAGTATATAACAATATGATCTATCTGATTTTTGTCTTTTCCTCTAGGTGATACCCATGTCAACTTGTTTATTTCTTTGTGTGGAAATAATGTTCCACCTATAACCAAGTTGTTGTTACCACAAACTCTGCCAGATATTCACCATTCTCATTCATGGTACCACAGCTAGAGTTTATTTCCCCATGGCTCTTTCATATCCGGTGTTGCCTTTACCTACATTTTCATTAAAATCTCCCACAATCATGGTTAAATCATGTTTTCGAATCTTTTCGAGTTAAGCTTGTAGTGCATCACAGAAATCTTGTTTACCTTCATCTTCTGCCTCATTTGTAGGAGAGAAGACTTGTATGATATATGTTTTAATAGGCTTTGTGTCGAGTCCCGCTCTTATCATTTTCTCACTTACAGGATGATACTCTATCAGGGACTTTGCTGCTGCAAAGAATAATTGCTACTCCCTCGTAATGTCTACCATCTTTCCTGCCTGAGTAAATGATTGCTTAACCGCTGTTTGTCATGCTCTTTCCAAAATCTGTCCATCTGCATTCACTTATTCTAGGATGTTTAGTTTGTTGTTCTCAATCTCTGACAACTTGAGCCTACTTTCCTGCCTCGTACATGGTACGGACATTCCAGAAGCCGATCTTAATTTTGGTTCTCGTGCTCAGTATACTAGTACTCTTCATGCGACCAACTACCCGTTGGCTTTCATTGGTTGCATTCATATGCGCAGGTTGCTGCTGGCATTCTGATGCCTCGAGAAAGGAAGAAATACTCCTAGTTCTCGTATCCGTCATCATGCAGTTTTCACGAGAAGGGAAGATTACCCCCTTGTTCAACCTCCTGCCTGATGGACCAGGGATTTGTAATCGAGGATACCTTCCTCTAGAATGGTTGCCTGCCACAGCTCATGAAGCCATTCTCTCCATGTTTTTGTTCGAGTTTCCTCTCTTGAAATTTCTGTCTGGACGTTCTCCCGTAGCCTTTGACTTTCCCGAGCCATCCACAAGGCAGTGGAACTATTTAACGATGGCTGGGAACTAGGTTTGCAGGTATCAGGGCATATCCAAACGCCGAAGGTCATGCATACCGTGCATTTAGGTGTCTAGTTTCCTCCAAGATCCTGTGGTTCTGCTTGGGACCGTAAGGTACACAAAGTCCATCAGCTACCTCGAGGAGGATCCCATATCTGGGCCACATAGGTCTAATTGTGGAGAGACTATACCTGGCAGTGAACACATATTTTGCTATCTCTTTCGCAGCGAACTGCTAGCCAGGGGTGGAATTTTGCCAATTCCCTCAATGATATACTTTAACTGTATAATATACTTTAAAGATCTATACCTACTAGAGACTAAAAACCCAACAAAAACCAAATTCCATTCATGTTGCATCATTTGTGAATTAAAATAGTCTTTATATCGAGTTTTTATGCCTTGTTGAATGATGAGTTTCGGAAACTTGTCCTCTGCCTACGACTTCTCCGTTCGATCAATTGGACATGGTCCCTTGTAATAGGTAGAACAATAAAACTCCATAATTCTTGAAAAAAGTATAGTGTATACATTTGATCGTGTTTCATAGACTGTACAAAACGGGTATTGGCACATTTTTTAGGACATAGAATCTATAAACGAATGTGAAACACACATTCTGAATTTCAAGACCTTATTCTAAAACAAATATAGATTATCATTGGGTTGTGTATTTTACATTTTACATACCAATTGTTAGTCCTTTGTTTGACTATGGTATGTTTTTCTTCTTTTCACGTAAAAGATTTGAAATTGATCTAGTTGTTCTTGAGAAGAAATTGAAAATGTGAAAAATTTACAGACGAACGCCGGACAATATAAAATCAAGAAATCTTGATTGATCAACCGTCAACATTGTTTTTTTTATTATAAATCACAGTGACATGATGAAGTAGGGATAAAAGAACTAATCTCAAAGTTATATACACACCACAAATGTTCATTAACAAACTGTCAGAATAAAGTTTTCATTGCAGAATAATTATCATTTGAAATAAGCCCCATTTAAAAGGTTTATAATTGTGTATTACTGTTGGTTAAATTCATTTTAAATTTAAGCTTAAAGTGACTGACTGACTGACTGGCTGGCTTGATTGACTGTGCTACCTGTTTAGTGAGTTTAGTCACTTCTTATTCTTTACACCTTGAATCAAATAATCAAATCAAACAATGTCAAAATGTAGAACAAATAATTTATACTTTTATTACAATGAAACAAATTCAATATATACATTTCTGATACAACAATTACTTATTTTATTTATTAAGTCTAAGACCTACTTTATTGAATAAATCTGAACGCTTGTTTTCCAGGTATAATTTTCTTTCGTGCTCACACAACAAAAATTCCTCTCATTATTAAGAATGAAATACACAGGCTTTGGTATATTCTCAAAAATCCTCAGTAGACATCCTTCATTTGATATTACATGGACATTGTTACTCTCCGTTGCAGCCACATAAAGGATATCATCACAGTCAATGTGAAGACCGCAAGAGTTCTGAAGTGATGGGTGACTATATGTCCAGGCATTGCTGCCTTCATCTGTTATAGCAGTCACTTTTGATGTCCTATAATTGCTGTATACAACATGTCTTTTCTTTGTGGCAACGACAAAGTAAACACCGTCATCGGTTGGATAGATTTTCAACTCATTTCCTGCAGTGTCCATTTTGATAATAGAATCGTAACAAGCAACATAAAGAAAGTTATTCTGAATTGAAAGTCCTAAACACATACCGCTAACACTGAGTGTACGAATGTTTTCAAAATTATCAATTGAAATAACTTTTATCACTCTGCTGTCTGGACATGATACAAAAAGGACATTATCTTTCCGCTTGATGTCAAATGATTTTTGTCCGATTTTTACTTCTCGCTGAAAACTCCATGTTTCATTGTTTCTGTTGTATTCAAAAATATTTGTATTTTTCCGGTCCGGAATAAACATTTCACTAATAGAAAATAACATTAAACTTCTGGCACTCGTGTGTGGTAAATCTATCTCCTGAAATAACTCCAGATTTAGGTTCTTAACATCAAATTCCCCTTCAAAATTTCTTTCTGTTTCAATAATAGCTATTTTCCCCATTTTTGAAAGGTTCGTGAAAGCTTTGAATCCAGCATCTACGTCTGACTCCATGGTAAAGCCAGATACCTTTAATTTGCTTTTCTTAATATGGCCTAGTGTTTTTTCTGCTGTAAGGAACTCTGCCAAGAAATCAATGCCTTGTAGATCTTTTGCACTCTCTAAATTTGTGATACAATGCTTCATTAAATTCACGCTATCCTGCAACGCCTGGATATTCAATGTAAGTTTTTCTTTACACTGTTTTGTAAGTTTTGACATTTCATCCAAATATTCACTCTCAAGTCTTTCAACATGCTGAATAATACTTCTTTTTAGCTTTTGGACTTTCTCTGTCATTTTATCTGTATTATCTTCTATTTCTGTGATATTACTTTCTTGTTTTACTTTCACCTCGGAAAGCTTTACCTTAAATTTTCTGATATCTTGTAATAAAGCATCCACTGATCCACTGCATCTGACCTTTTCTGCTTTTTCTTCAACAGTCTCCACGCTTTCACATTTTCTATGGTCTGTACAGCAACACATGGTACAACATGGCTCCTCGTGATCATTACAATATAATTCTATTGGTCTATCTTTGTGTTTAAAACACGTTATATTTGTAGATGGTTTTGACATTTCCTGTAGATATGTATCTTTTATTTCGTCAAAAGGAGAAATCTTGTGATCCTGAGAGGCGCGACTTTTTCGGTGACATTTTGTACAGTTATCACAAAGAGCTTCGGAACAGTTCAGACAATAGTTGCTTGCTGCCTCCTCCTCGTTGAATCGCTGACATGCTTCACATACTTTACAACCATCAGTCAAGCTGTAAAATTTTTCCAACAATTCATTCTTCGGAAGACGTTTACACCATTCCGAGAAATTCACGGACAAACAAGGAGAAGGCACAAATTTTCGACATAGTGGACAATCAAATCCCACAGGGTTCTCCTTAGCTTGACACTCGGACAAAATATGAGATGATATGCACTCCTGGCAAAAAGTGTGTAAGCAAGGTAAATAGCGTGGTGTTTTATATTCCTCAAGACAAATTGAACATTTCCTCAAATCTTCTTTGTTCATACTGTTTTCATTTGCGAGATCGAGAAAAAACAGACTCTAACTGTCTTTAGTAAATTCAATGAGTCCAAATCGAAAGTAGTTGGAAAACATTATGGAATGTCGATCTCGAAACGAAAACTCAATTCGATTCGTTCTTCTCGTCGGAGATTAACGAGGAGACAGCCGAGTCTGGTTGAATGAGACCACATGTACCTGACGTTACTTATTTTTCTTTTAATAAAAAAATATACCCTTACCTTTTATTAGGTAGGGGTATATTCTTTTTATCGTATAGGTTGTCATATTTCTGCAGGTGTAATTTAAGAAACTGATTTAAACACATTCAACTGACAATTGTTCAATCTTAGTACATGTAAACAGCCCTAAGGTAAAAAGTTGGTTTAACCTGGTTAAAAGAAATAATTCTGATGCTGAAAGCTTTTTTTAATGTTTCTGTACAGGACAAAAAAATTTACTTTTAATGTAAAATTACTAAATGACATGAAAATGAGTCAGTGCCCGTAGCACATTTTTATACATTTATTTTTTTATTCTTTTAATAAAGTTTATTTCACCTATTGAAAGGCATTTGTCCAAAAGATATACGAGGGTTGATCCAAAAGTTCGTACAGTTTCTTCATATTTTATTTATTCACTAGTGAAATTGGTTGATCTACACTGTTTTTCCCTGTTCAGAAAAAAAAATTAAAAAGACTGAATGGGGTTTATTTTTAATTCACAAATTTTGAATATTTCTTCTCTTTTATATTTTTAAAAATTAACCATCAAAAATTGTAACGAAGGACTTTTTCGATAAAGTTACACATTACTTAATTTTTTTTATCGAGTTTGGGTATGCAGGCACGTAGCAACAGGGGGTGATATAAGGAAAATGTAGTATAAAAAGATGATACTGGAAGAAGTAGACATTGAAAAAAGTTGGCCTCTACCCACCCCTAACCCCCCCCCCCCCGCCCACCCACCCAACCTTACCCCCACCTCCCACCCCCACTTTTTAACTTTTTCCCTTTCTCTTCTTTTTTTTCTTTAAGCTTTGTCAACTTTTTCAGGTAAGTAAAAAAAAAATTTCTGGCTCCCCCCCCCCACCCACTTTCAAAAATGATGCTACGCGGCTGGTATGCGAAAACATCCAGGAGAAATGGACACTCTCCTTTGACAGGGAGAATAACGTAATTTCCTCTGGTGACAGTACTTAGAGCTGAGTTCTCATCAAAACAACAGTTACTTTTGCTGATCTTTTAATATCGAAAACTGATTGGGTATATGCGAAACATCCACAGGGATTTTTTTGTTGAGTGAAGTTCTTTCGATTTCAAGCTAATTAATTTTCCTTTCAAATAAAGATATAACTGCACTGCAGTGCATTGCATTGTACTGCTTGACGTATTGTCTATTTTTTTAAATAAGTACTTGGTCAATATTCATTCAAATGTGCTTTTATGAAAAATAAATTGAAAATGTACTCATTTTCATTTACCGTTCCTTTTTCGTTTATTTCTAATTATTGGATAAAATTTAACGTAGTTGCTCACTTACTATATATCTGAATTAGCAACTGATAAAGGTGCAGTTTGTTGCTGTGATGCACTTGTTTGGATATACTAAATAGTGAAAAACAAATGAACTTACATTATGCAAATTTCACAACTTCAATCAGTAACGAGGGAAAAATGTATATATAGGCTGCCTTTGGAGGGTGGAGGGTGGGGGAATATTTGCAATACATTGACAAGGAAAATTGGACTTGTTAAATAAAAGTATCATTGCACGATACTGCACTCTGCTACAACACAATGCAAATACATTGTAATGCTTTGCAAATTGACCATTCAAAATAAATTTAGTCAATTTCTTTTGCAATTGAATTAAATTATGATTTGAAAATCCATACTTTTGTTTATATCGTGTTTTGAAAAAGAAGTTTTGAAAAACAAACTTCATGGGATTGTTTTTAATTCACATATTCCTTAATATTTGTTCTTTTTGATAGAAATCAAAATAAACTGTCAAATAATTCTTTCAAAAGACTTTTTTCGACAAAGTTACGTATCTATGATTTTTCATCAACCGACAAGTTTTGGTATGTGCAAAACATCCAGATGAAAGGAAAATTGTCTTTGACTTCATGATGACTCGATTTTTTTTCTTTATTTTCAAGAGAATTAATCCTTTTTATCTTAATAAGAATTTAACTGCATTTATTGCATTGGACTAGAATGCAATGTCAATCAAATAAATTATATTCAATGCAATTAAGATATGATTTTAAAAATCAATACTTTTATTCCCTGTTCTGAAATACTGTAGACGTACTTTTTTCCACGGGGTCATAATTCCGCGGAATCTCATTTTCTGTTTAATCCGCGGGTAGAAAATTACGCGGATTTCTTATACTGTCACTATATGCCATACATTTATATTAAGTACGCTAGGACATATTTCCGCGGAAAGTTTGTGTCCGCGGACATAGCGTAAATTAATACCACGCGGAAAAAAGTAATTCTACAGTACAAAAAAAGGACTGGATGGGGATTATTTTTAATTCACAAATTTTAAATATTTCTTCTCTTTTATATGTAAAAAATTAACAATCCATCATTGTATGGAAGGACTTTTTCGATAAAGTTATGCATTACTATTTTTATTGAACAACTAGTTTGGGTAAGCGAAAACATCCAGAAGAAATGACCACTCTTCTTTGACTGATGAGTAAATTTCTTTACTTTCTGGCGAGTAGACATTTTTAGAATGATGCAGATATGCACCAGAGAGAATAATGTAATTTACTCTGATGACAGTACTCAGCGCTGAGTTCTCATAAAAAAAAACAGTTACTTTTGCTGATCTTTTAATATCGAAAACTGATTGGGTATCTGCAAAACATCCAGAGGATTTTTTTTGTGTTGAGTTGAGTTCTTTTGACTGCAAGCTAATTAATTTTCCTTTCAAATAAACATATAACTATATATAATTGCACTGCAGCGCATTGCATTGTACTGTTTGAAGTACTGTCTAATTTAAAAAAAAAAAAGTACTTGGTCAACATGCATTCTATTGTGATTTTATGAAAAATAAATTAAAAATGTACTCATTTTCAAATTTACTTCTTCTCTTTCGTTTATTTCTATTTATTGGATAAAATTTAGTGCAGTTGCTCTCTTACTATCTGAATCAGCAATTGACAAAGTTGCATTGTGTTGCTGTGATGCTCTTGTTGGGGTATAGAAAATAGTGAAAAACAAATGATGAATCTCATCAATTAATAGAGAAAGATCCTACTAATGAATATGCAGCTCCAGAGTTGTCTGATCTGAAGAATTTGCACGGACGACCAGAGGTTTGTAAGTTTTGTTGTTGATGTTGTTGTTGTTGTTGTTGTTTTTGTTTGTTTTTTTTAGAGCTACAGTTATGCGGCTAAGTAATGAATTATAAGGGGGAAAACGCGTTTTTGTTTATTGGTTGCTATGGCATAAAAACCAAAAGGAATTTCTCTGGTCCATGCCAATTTTTTAACACTTTATTTTTTTTTTAGAGACTTTCCTACCTTTTAACAAAAACTGGAACTATCTAATACAATGGAATGGTCAAAAAAATTTCAATTAAAAAGTTTAACACTACTCTAAAAATTCTATTAAAAAATAAAGTGTTGCTATGTAAATTATATGAAAAAAGCCTTTAAAGCGTTTAGATTTTCTCAGACACTTATCAATGTGTAACATATTTCTATATACAATTAACCTGATTTTGGATTCTGGCCACCGTATAATCTGTAACTGGATGCATAAAGCAACCATAATAGGGTTAATATCGATACAGAATTTTATTAAATGAACATTTTCCTTATTGAATACCATGATAACAAATTTCTATTCTTTGTCAAACTTCAACAATTGTTTAAATTAACTTCTTTTATATTCTTTTCGACCAAATATAATTCATAATTTTGTTTCTAGTTCTAGCTTTATAAAATGAGCAAAGGTTCTTTAAAGTCGGTTACCATAAGCGCCTAAAACCTATAAAAAATAAGCATACCAAATTGATGAAAGAGCTATAACTCTTAGTATGCTAAACCGATACACTTCAACAATATGAGTTTTCGCTGTTAATTAATGAATTAAATATGCTTAAATAAATCAAAGACTTAATTAAGTCTTGCGTACGGAATTTCAAATATTGCTTCTGATATTTAGCTGAATTTTCATAATGTTTAAAAGTGTATTTTATTTAGAATAGAATAGTCAAGTAACAAAGGTTACTTGGCATGACAAAAGATAAAATCAAAGAAAAGAAAACATCATTATCTTTTTCTGTGCAGAGAAAACGAAATTCTGCATAGTAGATGGGTGTATATTTGTAGATTTATATCATTATTAAAATACCATGATCAACAGAAAACTAAAGAAAATAAAATAATGAAGAGAAAGGACGTACGGAATAAAATGCTGATTGTATGGCTTTCCAATTTGTTCCTTGTGACCAACTTTTTATGATTTAGATACTTTGCTTTAGAAGGAGCACTTCTTAAAAACAATGAAGACTGAAGCTAATCTACACCCTATACTGGTCAAACCAGCCTAGATATTGCTGCGTCATGGAGTTGATGCCTCGATTTAGCTCATCTCCTACATGTAATTATTATACTTCTACTGATTTCCCCACTATATAAAAATTAGATAATACTTAAAAAGTGAATAATATTCCCTAGAAATCACTGTGAATGGACGTATCCCCGTGCGTTAGTCAAATAAGCTAATCCCTGCTTCAGAAGCTAATTCCCGGTTATCCGTAATCCTCTAGATCTATTTTAATTTTGTATCGGTATTCAATGTACCATGTTATTGGACTTATCCCCAAGCATTAGTCAAGTGAGCTAATCCCCGCTCCGAAAGCTATTTCCGCGCGACTCTTATAATCCTCTTATTTTTTACTTCTGTATCGGTTTAATAAAACAGTTAAAATGTACACAACATGGAAATAGTCCTGTCTTGGAGAACTGGAATCTTGCTAACTCCTCAATGACATATTTTAACTGTATAATATATACACTTTAAAGATCTATATATATAGACAATAAACCCAGCAAAGACCAAATTCCATTCATGTTGCATCATTTGTGAATTAAAATAGTCTTGTTGTCGAGTTATTATGCCTTGTTGATGAACGATAAGTTTCGGAAACTTGTTCTCTGGCTACGACATCTCCATTGGATCAATTGGACATGGTTCCTTGTAATAGGTAAAATCCACCTGTAACGTCATTCTTTTGTTTGAGCGCTCCATTACTTTTAAGGAATGGAGAGTTGCAAATTTCATTGATAACGGAATTTCTTATCTTGTTATTCTCCTTTCCGTGCCTCTACCGAGGAAAGAACTTTTAGAAAGAGTTTTAGAAAATATAAGAATTGATTCTCACGTTATGAAAATTTTATTGCCCATGGTAAGAATCGAACCCGATACCCTCCGCTTTGTAGTAGGGTACACATTTTATCGAAGCTGTTGAGAAACACTGGATTAGAATAATTTCAGTATACTTTCTGTAGTATATAAAAAATAAATACTACTAATACTAGTATATAATGTCTATTAATAGTGTATCATATAAATATTCTTTATTTTATATGAACAAACAATAAATAAAAGCATTAAAAAGGCGTATTTTACGCGGGTTAATATACTCGTAGCACTCCATTCCTTAAAAGTAATGGGCCTCGGCTCCATTACTTTGAAGGAATGGGGCGCTATTCGTACACTTACCCTTACGTATAACAATGAAACTCGATCTCTTTTGAAAAAAGTATAGTGTATACATTTGATCGTGTTTCATCCACTGTACAAAACGGGTATTTGCACATTTTTAGGACGTTAAATTTATAATTGAATGCGGAACACACATTCTGAATTTCAAGACCTTATTTTAAAACAAATAAAGATTATCACTTGGTTGTATTTTGGTTGGCGTGTTACATACCAATTGTTTGGCCTTTGTTTTGCTATGGTATGTTTTCTTCTTTTCATGTAAAAAATTGAAATTGATCCGGTGATTCTTAAGAAGAAATTGAAAATGTCAAAAGTTTACTGACAGACGAACGCCGGACTATACGAATTCAAAAAATCTTGATTGGTCAACCGGCAAAATGTTTTTAAATAAAATCACAGTGACATGATGAAGTAGGGATAAAAGAAATATTAACTAATTGTTAAAATAAAGTTTTCATTGCAGAATAATCATGGAATAAGCCGCATTTAAAAGGTTTATATTTGTGTATTATTGTTGGTTAAATTTATTTTAGATTTAAGCTTAAAGTGACTGACTGTCTTGATTGAATGTGCTACCTGTTTAGTGAGTTTAGTCGCTTTGACAAGCAGTCTAATTCTTTACACCTTGAATCAAATCAAACAATGTCAAAATTCAGAACAATAATTTATACTTTAATTACAATGAAACAAGTTCCATATATACATTCTGATACAGTAATGATTTTTAATACTGTACAACAAAGTCTAAGAACTACTTTATTGAATAAATCTTAACGCGTGTTTCCCAGTTAGAAATGTTATCTCTGGTGCTCACACAACAAAAATTTCTCTCATTATTAAGAATGAAATACACAGGCTTTGGTATATTCTCAAAAATCTTCAGAAGACATCCTTCATTTGATAATACATGGACATTGTCACTCTCCGTTGCAGCCACATAAATGATATCATCACAGTCAATGTAAAGGCCATAAGAGAATTTAAGTGATGGATGACTATATGTCCAGGCATTGCTACCTCCATCTGTTATAGCAGTCACTTTTGATGTCAAAAAATTGCTGTATACAATATGTCCTTTCTTTGTGACAACGACAAAAAGAACACCGTTATCGGTTGAAAAGATTTTCAAGTCATTTCCTGCAGAGTCCATTTTGATAATAGAGTTGTAACAAGCAACATACAGAAAACTATTCTGAATTGAAAGTCCATAACAGCTACGGCTAACATTCAGTGTACGAATGTTTTCAAAATTATCAAATGAAATAACTTTTATCTCTCTACTTGTCTGGACATGATACATAAAGGACATTATCTTTCCGCTTGATGTCAAATGTTCTTTGTCCGATTTTTTCTTCTCGTTGAAAACTCCATGTTTCATTGTTTCTGTTGTACTTAAAGATATTTGTATTTATCAAGTCTGGAATAAACATTTCACTGATAGAAAATGGCATTAAACTTCTGGCACTCGTGTGTGGTAATTCTATCTCCTGACATAATTCCAGATTTAGATTCTTTACATCAAATTCCCCTCCAAAATTTCTCTCTGTTTCAATAATAGCTATTTTTCCTATTTTTGTAAGGTTTGTGATAGCTTTGAATCCAGCATCTAGGTCTGACTCCATGGTAAAGCCAGATACATTTAATTTGCTTTTCTTGAGATGGCCTAGTGTTTTTTCTGCTGTAAGGAACTCTGTCAAGAAATTGACGCCTTGTAGATCTTTTGCACGCTCTAAATTTGTGATACAATGCTTCATTAAATTCATTCTATCTTGCACCGCCTGGACATTCAATGTAAGTTTTTCTTTACACTGTTTTGTAAGTTTTGACATTTCATCCAAATATTCACTCTCAAGTCTTTCAACATGCTGAATGATACTTCCTTTTAGCTTTTGGACTTCCTCTGTCATTTTATCTGTGTTATCTTCTATTTCGGTGATATTACTTTCTTGTTTAACTTTCACCTCGAACAGCTTTTCCTCAAATTTTCTGATATCTTCTAATAAAACATCCACTGATCCACTGCATCTGATCTTTTCTGCTTTTTCTTCAACAGTCTCCACGGTTTCACATTTTCTATGGACAAACAAGGAGAAGGCACAAATTTTCGACATATTGGACAATCAAATCCCACAGGGTTCTCCTTAGCTTGACATTCGGACAAAATATGGGATGATAAGCATTCCTGACAAAAAGTGTGTAGGCAAGGTAAATAGCGTGGTGTTTTATATTCCTCGAGACAAATTGAACATTTCCTGAAGTCTTCTTTTTCCATACTGTTCTAATTTGCGAGGCCCAGAGAAAACAGACTCTATCCGTCTTTAGTTTAAAATTCAATAAGTCTAAATCGAAAGTAGTTTGAAAACATATTATGGAATGTCGATCTCGAAACGAAAACTCAATTCGATTCGTTCTGCTCGTCGGAGATTAACGAATAGACAGACGAGCGTCTGGTTGAATTAGACCACAGGTATCATTCAAATGTGATTTTATGAAAAATAAATTGAAAAAGTTAATAATTTTCAAATTTACCGTTCCTCTTTCGTTTATTTCTAATTATTGGATAAAAATCAATGCAGTTGCTCACTTACTATATATCTGAATTAGCAATTGATAAAGGTGCAGTTTGTTGCCGTGATGCACTTGTTGGGGTATACTAAATAGTGAAAAACAAATGAACTTTCTTGTTTGACCAATGAATAGATATTTTAACGTCGATTTACAGCGTAGAACAATCAAACGCGCTTTTCAATACTGCTTTTATTGTAGCACTACTTGTTTAATGACATAAACTCACGCTAAACCCAAACTTCACACGTGACATTACCGTTAGTCACTTTAACACTTGATCAATCTGTAACTGACTCTCTGAAGTCTTATATAGTTTACAAACTTGCCGCCTATTAGCATTGACTGAACATTTGCATAATATAAAATCAAAGAGCAAAGATCGTTTTATCTACGTTGTTCAAAGGGCCATAATTTGATTATCGAACTTTGTAACAAACTTACATTATGCAAATTTCACAACTTACAATCAGTGGCGAGGTAAAAATATATATATATAGGCTGCCTTTGGAGGGTGGATGGTGGGGGATTATTTCCAATAAATTGACAAGGAAAATTGGTATTGTTAAATAAAAGTATCATTGCACGAAACTGCACTCTGCTACAATACACTGCAATACATTGTAATGCTTTGCAAATTGACCATTCAAAATAAACTTAGTCGATTTCTTTTGTAATTGAATTAAATTATGATTGAAAATCCACACTTTTGTTTATTTCGTGTTCTGAAAAAGAAGTTTTATAAAAAGAAAATTAATGGGATTGTTTTTAATTCACATATTCCTTAATATTTGTTCTTTTTGATAGAAATCAAAATAACTGTCAATAATTGTTTGAAAGACTTTTCGACAAAGTTACGTATTCAACAATCGACAAGTTTTGGTATGCACAAAACATCCAGATGAAAGGAATTTATTTTCAAGAGAATTAATCCTACTTATCTTAATAAGAATTTTACTGCATTTATTGCATTGGACTAGAATGCAATGTCAATCAAATAAATTATATTCGATGCAATTAAGATATGATTTATAAAATCAACACTTTTTTTCCCTGTTCTGAAAAACAAAAAAGGACTGGATGGGGATTTATTTTTGATTCACAAATTTTAAATATTTCTTCTCTTTCATATGTATCAAAATTAACAATCAATTATTGTATGGAAGGACTTTTTCGATAAAGTTACGCATTACTATTTTTATTGAACAACTAATTTAAGTATACGAAAACATCCAGAAGAAATGGACACTCTCCTTTGACTGATGAGTAAATTTCTTTACTTTCTGGTGAGTAGACATTTTGAGAATGATGCAGATATGCACCAGGGAGAAAAACGTAATTTACTCTGACAGTACTTAAGAGCTGAGTTCTCATCAAAACAACAGTTACTTTTGCTGATCTTTTAATATCGAAAACTGATTGGGTATTTTTTTGTGTTGAGTGAAGTTCTTTCGAGTGCAAGCTTATGAATTTTCCTTTCAAATAAAGATATAACTAAAGAAATAACTCACTGCAGCGCATTGCTTTGTACTGCTTGAAGTACTGTCTATTTAAAACATACTTGGTCAATATTCTTTCAAATGTGATTTTATGAAAAATAAATTGAAATTGTACTCATTTTCAAATTTACTGTTCATCCTACGTTTATTTTAAATCATTGGATAAAATTTAACACAGTTTCTCTCTTACTATATATCTGAATTAGCAATTGATAAAGGTGCAGTTTGTTGCTGTGATGCACTTGTTGGGGTATACTTATTAGTGAAAAACAAATGAACTTTCTTGTTTGACCAATGAATTTTAACGTCGATTTACAGCGTAGAACAATCAAACGCGCTTTTCAATACTGCTTTTATTGTAGCACTATTTGTTTAGTTAGATAAACTCACCATAAACCCAAATTTCACACGTGACATTACCGTTAGTCACTTTAAAGCCGCTTGGTCCGATTCTAATCGCTAAAAAATATGTTCGTTTTTCTTCTTGAAAAATAATTGTCCATAAATTATTTCAACTTTTGTCAAATTATATCCCCAAAGTCTTTTTCTTTTTAAAGATATCAAAATTCAAAAGTTAAAAAAATAATTTTTGTTAGGTCACACAAAAAATAATCCTTTGTTTACATTGCGTGAAATCACCTTCGAAAAATTAAATTTATCGCTTACATGTATAACTCATGAAGAACAAACCCGAGCATTTTTTCCACAACAAAGTGTACACGGGCAATATTCTAGCCCTCGTTACTAAACTCCCTTTTTAAGAAATCTTTAAAAATATCTGATTTTCCTTTATTCTATAAATATGCATATTAATATAAAAATTACTATGGATTATATTCAGTTAATTTCTTAATTTTTAAAAGATATATCATGACTTAGGATTCTACTAATGGAAAAAAAAATACTCGGGTTTGAATTCTCTTCATAATTAGATATAACCGATAAAAGTATTTTTTTCAAAGGTGACTTCAAAACAGATCTTAAGTTCCCGTCAGGAACTGCTGTTTGTCAACAAGGTTTTTGGTCTATGTTTTCCATGTAAGGATTGTTGTAATAAACTATTAAATCAATCTTATAATTAATTTTTATATATTATCTATGTAATATGACATACTTTTATTGTTTAAGATAATATGTGCCTGTTTCGGATGAAGCGGCTTTAATAATTGATCATCCTGCAAATGATTCTCTGAAGTCTTATATGGTTTACAAACTTGCCGCCTATTAGCATTGACTGAACATTTGCATAATATAAAATCAGAGAGCAAAGATCGTTTTATCTACGTTGTTCAAAGGGCCATAATTTGATTATCGAACTTTGTAACAAACTTACATTATGCAAATTTCACAACTTACAATCAGTAGCGAGAGGAAAATGTATATATAGGCTGCCTTTGGAGGGTGGATGGTGGGGGAATATTTCCAATATATGGACAAGTAAAATCGTGCTTGTTTTAAAAAAGTATCAATGCACGATACTGCACTCTGCTACAACACAAGGCAATACATTGTAAACACACCCTATTACCGGCAACTGTGACAACCGATGCAACTCTGACAACAGACGGCAAAGTTATCAATCGCTATGACAGAGACCTAATTGATATCATAATTTTGACTATTTATAACATTCATTTACTTTCGTTTGGTGGTTTCCCGTGTTGATATAACCTTAAACTATTTTTCTGTTGAATATAAAACAATTATTTCTTATTGAAACAAAATAAGAACAGAATAAAGTTAAATTTCAATCGTTATTCAAGAAAAATTGGTTTAACTCAGCTTAAAAAATAAAAACTACTACTCCGCGGTCTTATTTCCTGTTGTATATAATTAATTTAGACTCTCTACAGCATAACTTTATAATTTGGATGTACTTTGTTGTTTAACAAGTGTGCTGCAAGTGTTTGATTTTGATGGGTCAAGACATTTTGGCTGTCGTGAACAACAGATGTTCGTTTCTGTGGCAAACACTGACGACAGATAATGGCAATCGGTAACACATTTATTTTAATCTGGATTTCAACTTTTTAAACGTTTTTTTCTTATCAAGATCACTGACAAAAATATGACTTGTTGTCAGACATCTTTATACTTTATATAATTTATTATTTCAGAAGATGATTGTCTATCTAAGAACGAAATATGATCTCTCTGCAAACATTTGCTGCAAGTCTTCAACATACATTGGTTCAAACTTGCTACAAACATTGCTGCAAAGGATCCTTTGCTGCAACGAAGCTAAAGAAACCATAACAAACTTTGAAAACCTTTGTGTTTGCAGCAAGTTTGTCGCTAGTTTTGACAAGCTTATAGCAAACAGTTACCCTAGCTGCAGATCTGTTATGGTTTTATATATTTCTCTTTGACCATAACGCCACAGATCCCGTAATGCAAAAAAGGTGCAATTTACGGCGCAATATTTTTTTTTGCGCTCTTTTGGGGAGAATTTCTCCACTTTCTAGCATTGGTTAATCAACTACCTTTCACTCCCTAATTCTAGACACATTATATAGCCAATATGTATATTTTATCTACCTCCCAACAATTTACAGTTTTCTCTATAGGCAATAAACTCGCTTGAAGTGAATTTTCAGCAATCTAACAAATAAGTTTAATCAAGTGAGTTTATCACTTGTAGAGACGACTATAAAGGGTTTGGAGATGGATAAATTATAAAGATTAGTTAAATAATGTGCCTAGAATTAGGTATTGAAGATTAGTTAATTGAACGATGCTGGGAAGTGGAGTAATTCTCTCCAAAAGAGCGCAGAAAAGATTGCGCCGTAAATTGCACCTTTTTTGCATTACGGGATCTGTAGCGTTATGGTCAAAGAGAAATATATAAAACCATAACGCTACAGATCTGCAGCTAACAGTTACCCATGCAAAAGAGGTTTACCGCTGGTTTTAACCTGCTGCCAATATTAGATTTTTTAAAGAAAGATATGAAGATACTACATGTAGTAACGTTCAGTGTTCAAGCTCAAAACTCCCTTAAACAATACAAAATGGAGCAGAAAAACGGGAAATTCTAAAACATAGAAATGGGCAGGACCCGTCCCATGCGTGGTGGAGTGATCATCACCTGCCAAGTTGTTTGCTTTATGTCATGATCGAAAAAAAAAACAAACAAACAAAAAATCATTCGACAATTCAGTATGTGCAAATGATGGCCCCAAAAATATGGGGGTGGGGGGGGGGGAGTCAATCAGCATTTGAATCAATGAAAAAATTTATTTGCTGACAGGGACATTCTATAGAAATAAAGAAATGATGACTTAAAAACAAGATTGTTGATATT